CCCATACTTGTTGTTGACTCAAAAGTGTCTGGCTTTTTTCGTGCTGTTGCGATATCTTGCCTAACGTCAGCGACACCTCTTTCATGCTACGCCAGCAACAGACCAATAGTGCTTGCGGAGTCACATTTAACACATTTGACCCAAAGGTCGGTTCAACTGCTGCAACATCATCAATCTGTGGAACATCTGAAGAGAAGCCAAGGCAATCTTGAAATGAATATTTGTACAGTATTAAACTTTTTTTAGTCAATAAAAAAAAGGCTGGTAGAAATTTATGGTGTTCCTGATATAACTAAGCATTAAAAAATATATATATGATTAACTACTAAAAAGACATTGCCAAATTATGTAAAAAGTTAAGCTATATTCAACTTCTATCATTATAATGTATACTATTTCATCATCTGTTATGTATCTTTTTATATATACTTACTTACAAAATATAGAATGAATGATTGAATTATTGTTCTTACTTTTTGCATCTGTAACCACGAGTAGCATATCTAGGCGTCTTAAAATGGGGGTGAGGGGAGCAGAGGAGAAGCTCGATGAGTAAGAGAATTCATTATTTATTTATTTATCTTATTTATTTTTTTCTTTCAGGAATTCTATTTTGCATACATGTGGAAGCTAAAATATCTCAAACCTGAACCATCTCGCTCCTGATTGGCTGGATGATATCCCTCTGGTGATGAATTGCACACTACAGGAGAAACAACCTCAGCCACTTGGTAACACATCAACAACAATTTATCAATAAGCTGCTTGTACTTGGCAGTCACTGATACAGTAAGCTCACTACAAAAAAGAGAAATTCTATCTGAAGCAAAAGAGAAATACTTATAGAAGGCAGTGTATTGTAATCTCAATAACTGACATACAATGGACTTGAAATGAAATTTAGCATCTATCCAATATCAGACCATTCAATAGGCAGGGCCAGGAATAATAATAATAGTAATGTGAAGCGCTTAGAGGCCTAAAGGCATGAAGCGCTATATAAGAACGACATATTATTATTATTATAATCACATGTTCCACACACAAAGCTTATGACTGTACGATTTTAATTTCATATTTATTGTCGTTGCTCATAGAATATAGAAACTTGTTTTTATGGCTTTCACTTTGTGGAACCTTTGTACAGCAGTAGTCCAAAGCCCATGGCTAAATCTTCTTCGGGGCCCTACTAGCATGAAAGAAAAAGCCCAGATCTCTTTGGTGTGATCAATGTTTTAAGGAAGTATTTTGATGTTTATCTACACATTAGTGCCCCTTAAAAAGGTCCAGCTTGGCCAAGGTATGGGCAAAAAAGCCTAAAAAAAATCACTGGCCCTTTAAGGTCTAGGGCCCAGGTCTTAGCCAGTGATACCTCATAGTTATTATGCCACTCCCTAGAAACAATATCCAAGGGGTGTGGCTTAGTAGATTGGTCCATTTTAAGTGTTACTTACTGAAAATTCACGTCTTCTATTAGCTCTCGTACACAATGAAGAACACCGTACATCGGTCTTGTCCCTGCCGCTTCTATCAACCTTCTGTTCGCAACCTCCACTTGCTCTGATAAGGAATTAAGCATATCTCCCACAATGCCTTGTAAATTGTCATGGTAACTGGAGCTATGCTTAATAGCAGGTTCAAGCTGTCTGCTGAGGAACCGTAGCATGAACGAAGCAGTCTCGCAATTGTGCGGACGTGTGCTGCATCCAAGCTCAATAGCAACTTTATATAAGGTATTCAGCCGTCCAAGGTCCTGAGGAACGATTATGAATTCCAATTAAAAATTTTAATTTAAAACACCACAAAAAAACTATCAATTAATTATCATGATCTGGAAACAGTCTAATTTTTTTGTATTTTATTTAAATGAGTAATTTTAATAATCACACAAACACCAACAATAATACGCTCTATCATTTTGTCATGGTGCTAAGTCTGTAAGTTTGAGATATCAAACTTATTATCACATCCAACAACCACACTAAGAAGAACAATATACAATAGCTTCTCCAGATATTTGCTCATTAGTAAAGACTACTTCTTCATTTGTTTTTACCAGTAAACATACATTAATTACCTGCATTCCAAGCTGTTTTTGAGTAAGTGGAACCAAGAGGTTAAAGGCCATGACCTTATTACTTTCATAAGGGTCAGTAAAACATCTTAGAAGAAGCTTAACATTTTTGGGACTGAATATAATACTGTCACCATACCAACTACATCCTGAAGAGAAATGCAAGAGAAGTTAATTAAAACAAAATCAGGCATTCTCAAGAAGGAATAATGATGACAAGGATATAGGGTTGTAAGAATGAAATATATAATGGCTAATGTTTTACAAAAATGTGTCCTGCGTATCAAAATATAATCAGGCTAATGAGAGGGTAGGTATGTGGGTCTATTTGTCTGTTGATAAGTTTTGTCTAACTTGTGTCTGAATCTGTCTGTGTCTCCTCCAACTAATACACTCAAAATAAAAACACCTCCAATTAAATACCACCTCTAAATGTCTTTTATCTTTATTATTCCAATTAGAGACAAAAGCTGCTAAGACCATGGAAACCCCGTCACAAATGCGGTCTTCAATTGGAAGGATCTTGCACATGATAAAGATCTATAAATAAAGAGAAAAACATATACCTACCAGACTGAAATTTGCTCAAAATTGACAGAGCAGAGAGTGATGAAACCCTGGTTGAGTAACAGGAACCAGACTGTAATCCTGAAAACAGCAGCTCAACAAACCAATCCAGAAAGCCCTGCAATACAAAGCATTAACATTGATTTTGAAATTGCTCAAGCAAGTTTACACTCTCTAACAAAAAGCAGTAGATGGGGGTACAGGTCCATAACAGAACTCCTGGTGAAAGGGGTTTCTGAGAGCCAGATGGCTTGTGGCAAGTAGGTGCTTTAATGGGGTTCAAAAGAAGAACTTTTGTAGAGTTAAAGGGCAAAGCCACCTCGATTTGAAACATTCCAGCATGTAAATGGTAAATTTTGTCATCTTTTGATGATATTTGAATGCAAAACGAGAGGTGTTATGATCTATCAGAGAAGGGGGGGGGGGGATTGGGGGAGGTTTCTAAAAAAGTAGGGGTTCAGCCAAATGAAAACAATGAAAGATGGAGAACTGTTCACATTTTTAAATAGGCACTCGGTTACTCAGAATAAAATTAATAAATCAAATCTATGAAACCAATCTAGACTAGACTATCAAATTTTATTTGACAAAAGAATGTGACATGCCTAAATATGGTCATGATGACATCACACCATGACCATATATGGGCACCTCATGACTATGTATGGGCATACAACAATATCTGTCAAACAAAATTTGAGAATCTGGACAGAGCATAAGGACAACACAAGAATAAAGACATTGACATTTTATTTTGCTAATGCATTCACCTTATATGCATGTATCCTGTTGGCTGCCTCTGATTGGCTGGGGCAGTTTGTTGTCTTAGAGTTCTTGTAATGGAGTCTGCCACTGTCTTGTAGCCTTATTAGAAGCTGAAAAAAAAAATGTCAGATAGAGCCCCAAAATTTAAATAAAACGACTTGCACAAGGACACAGGTCAGACACAAGAGACCCGTCTCTGACATGACCCACCAATCTTTCAATTGGAAGCCCAATGCCCTAGCTTCAGCCCTCATAGCGTTGCCACTGTGCAAGTCTAAAGCTTTGTCTACACTATCAAATTTCATCAAAAAAGTGTCAAGTAAAATGTGATGGAACATAAGAGTTGAACACGTTCAACTTTTTTTGATACAATTTGATAATATGTGATTAGACGTCATCACACCCATATATGGGCACATCACATTTTTTTTTACACATAAAATTTGATAGTGTAGACAAAGCTCCAAGCCCTGTACAGACTATCTGTGGTGAGTCGAATGGCCGAGCGGTTAGCAGGGGCGCCGCAAGCTATAGCCATAATATCGGCGCTGGTTCGTACGGCACGCTCACCTATGGTTCTGGTGGTAGAACAAGTCTTCTCGGATAAGGACTATAAACCGTAGGCCCAGTGTATACAATGGCTCGTGTGCACTATAAAGAACCCAGTACATCCTTCGAGACGAGTAGGAGTGCTGTCTCTTATACACATCTAGATGTGTATAAGAGACAGGTTACCGGGTAGCACAGACATGAAGGGACCCTTAGGGGCGAAGAAAGTCATTGATTGAGTTCCTAGTCCACACATCACCAGCGCATTGAGACTTCGGTATAATGCGCTATACCAAATCCCACTACATTACATTACATTATCACATCTTACTTGACAAACATGTGACATACCTAAATATGGTCATGATGACATCACATCATGACCATATATAGGCACGTCATGTCTATATATGGGCATACAACAGTTTTTTGTCAAAGAAAACTTAATAATCTGGACAGAGCATAACACAGTCCCACATTTTTTCTCAAAGTAAAATTATTCCCTCAGTCACAGGAGAAAAAACAAAAGCATCATAACTCATTACATCAAGAAAATTCACTCAAGGTGATGTTGGAAAGTTCAGGACTGTAGGACAGATACTTAAATGAATGGATTTATACACAAAATTTTTTTCATGGCACTTCCCTTGAAATTAATTGAATAGTCCATTGCAGTGGGCCATATTTTAAGCAATTTTCACCATGGTAAGCATTCACAAGACAGACTGCCAAGTTAAATGTTATTTATCAATACTACAAACATAAATTCAACAGTAATGTTTATCCTGGTATTACCTTTTTTATTAACATCATCAACTGCTGCCTAAAGGATGGTAAGTCGCTGCTCAGGTTGTACGGTAGAAAGAATTTAATCAGATCAAAATCGCAATCAGTCAAGACTTCTGCAGTTTTCTTTGTATCGCAAATCAAAGCAAACGTATCTAGACGAACCTAAACAAATTATATTATTTTCATTTCTTGTTAAATAAATGTAAAGATGATGCAGACAGGCTGCTATCAGAATATAATGTATGCTATTAAAATTGTATTACACTATTGAAGTGGAGATGTAGTTTGGTGGTAAAGATGCTTGCCTTCCAACCCCAGGGTCTTGGGTTCAAATCCTGTGACAGCCCAGGATTTTTTCTCACAACTTAAAAAAATCTCACTCCCTGAGCCTCATCATGAGTCTTGGCTGATGATCACATTATTTCATTTATTTAAGAGGGGAGCAAAATATCAGTCAACTTTCTAAGATATGTTGGAAGGATCACCCTCTAAAAAAATGGTCTTGAAAATTGTTAATTTTGAATGTGGATAAACATTATGGAATAACAAATAACCTGATTGTTCTTGTGACACAAAGCTTGTTTGATCGTTGTTCTTCCAACAAGTCCATGCCACATCTCGTCACCTTGTTCATCATCTTCAAACTCAGTAATGGTAATGTTTGAGGCCCTAGCTGTCTTTAAACACGTCATGAGCATGCAGAGCCGCATACCCTTATAATCCAGGGACTTTGAGGCCTGAGCATCCAGGGGCCAGCTTCCCTGTATATCCAGGGGCTTTGAGGATTGAGCATTTATGTGTTTTGAGCCCTGAGTATCAAGAGGTCTCATGCCCTGAACATTTTCGGGTCTCTTTTTCTCAGCATTCAGAAGATCGGTCTCTCTTACATCCAGGGGCATCATGCCTTGGGTATCCAGAGGTGATATGATTTGGGGAACCATAGACTTTGATAACTTAACATCCGGGGACTTTATGCCCTGGACATCCAGGTGTTCCCACTTACTACTCTGCAGTGTTTCAATAATGTACTGGACACTTGAAGGATTACATTTCATAAGTTTTGGAAGTGTCACCTGAAAATAAAATAAAATCAATAAAGGTCTGTTTCTGTTTCATAAACTTAGAAAGAATCATACCTCACCAATTGGGAATTTATCATCCATAAGTTCATTTACTAGTGATTGCAGGCCATGATTATTTAGAGTGCACAACCTTTGGCCAGCCTGAAGGAAGTTAAACATCTCTACAATTTATACCAATTTATAAATTATTATATAATTTTAAAGAAAATATTTAAGGTTGAAAACTACAGGTCCCTTAAACAATTTCTGTCTATGGAAGGCAGAATAAATGAACTCACCTGCATGATGTATGATTTATGTTGAATTGGTGGACAGGTGTGCAGTGCATGCAGGAGGCTGTCAATCCAGGTGAAATGCCAATCATCACTGCTGCTGTCAATCATTTGTTTTAAGTGGTCCTTAGCCATCACATCAACAAGATTGCCCCTGTCTCTTATACACATCTAGATGTGTATAAGAGACAGGTCCATTGTAGTGGGCCATATTTTAAGCAATTCTCACCATGGTAAGCATTCACAAAACAGACCGTCAAGTTAAATGTTATTTATCAATACTACAAACATAAATTCAACAGTAATGTTCATCCTGGTATTACCTTTTTTATTAACATCATCAACTGCTGCCTAAAGGATGGTAAGTGGCTGCTCAGGTTGTACGGTAGAAAGAATTTAATCAGATCAAAATCGCAATCAGTCAAGACTTCTGCAGTTTTCTTTGTATCGCAAATCAAAGCAAACGTATCTAGACGAACCTAAACAAATTATATTATTTTCATTTCTTGTTAAATAAATGTTAAGATGATGCAGACAGGCTGCTATCAGAATATAATGTATGCTATTAAAATTGTATTACACTATTGAAGTGGAGATGTAGTTTGGTGGTAAAGATGCTTGCCTTCCAACCCCAGGGTCTTGGGTTCAAATCCTGTGACAGCCCAGGATTTTTTCTCACAACTTAAAAAAATCTCACTCCCTGAGCCTCATCATGAGTCTTGGC